AGAGATAGGGGAGTCCACCCCCAAGTCCCCAGACACTGCTTCCTCATTGGAAGGCGTGTCGGTGGGATTGAGGAGGTCTTCAAAGTATTCCCTCCACTGACCGAAAACGTCCCGAGTTGAGGTCAGCAGTGCTCTATCCTCACCATAAACAGTGTTGATGCTGCACCGTTTTCCCTGTCCCTGAGACGGCGGATGATGGACCAGAATCTCCTCGAAGCCGTCAGGAAGTCCGGAACTCCTCCCACACCCGAGCTTTTGCCTCGGCAATCGCTGAAGCCGCATTCCGCTAGACCCGCCGGCAGTATTGGGAAGATTACTTTGGAAATGTAATTCGTTACAATTACAAGTTACTCTATTTAAAATGTAATAGTAGTGTAACTATTTCAATTACTATATGAAAGTAATGTAAATAATTACATTTGATTACTTTTTGATTACTTTTCTAAATTATGAATGAATGCTGTTAACCATTTTGATATTTTGTAACCTGGCAGTGTTTATCTTACAGCAGTACTAAGCACTGATTACTGTCAAACTCCTTTCAATACATGAATTAACATGATTATAATTGATCAATTTAATAGAGATACCAAACATACCATACATACCATATAGGCCTAATAATAATTTTAAACAACGGGTAAGAATAGATCCTTGCTTCATACTCAGTAAAAACCCAGATTCCCACAGTGTAACAAGTCATAACATTAATGTTACATAAAATATAGCTAAAATTTCAAAAAAATTGTTAAAACTCAGGCTACGGTTATTAAATTCTAATGTGTGTCCATAATATAAACTTTTTGGGAGTCAAAACAAGATAAACTACGACTGATTTGACCACTCTGTGACGCTTCAGAATTACATTATGATACAAACATTTTATATACTTGCGAAAATAAATGGTTCAATTTTACTTCTGATCTGAACAGTTCTTGCATGAGACGGGATATGAAATTCCAGCTGATTGTGTAATCACTTACTCTGTTTAAATCAAATTTTCAATCGCAAATCACGGAGTAGCCTAAAACAGTGTCTTCGCAGCACTGTAAAATAAAATGAGTTAGCAGAGTGGTAAGGCTGCATCACCCAGGGGTTAGTTAGTTAGTGAATTTTCCAAACTCAAAACGACATAGCATGTCGGGAGTGCTAATATCAAACCTAACATAAATTACCAATAACCTTAGCATATTGAAGGAGGACGGCACATTTTCTGTCAACAGGATCAGAAGTGCCAGTGTGGCTTAAAAGCACGGTACACACTTCACGATTCATTGTGGTATTTACGCATGCTGTCAGTGTTTACATTTTTTGTTGTCCTATGCGCCGTATCTTATGATTGAGTTGGTGTTGTCGTCGTACAGTCTGCATACTGTCACGTTTGGCAAGCTGGCGAACGGCGAAGCAGGCAAGCAGAGCCGTAAAGACGGACAGACGGGGTTTATTACGGGTAGACCAGCGGACAAGGAACAAAACATAACAATACACTAGACAAGGCAAAAGGAATAGGCAACAGGTGATGACAATCAGGCAAAAACAGGAGGTAACGAGGTAGGCGTGGCACACATTAGGATCGGACGGAGCTGGGCGTGACACATACAGTACCTGTCATAGCCAAGATTATCAGATCCATATCGCACAGTGTGATCAGTAATGATTTTATAAGATTGCTGAAATCACACAGTGTTTACCAGGCATTACACTTTAGAAGCATGGTGCGCATTGCATTGCACAGTTAAATTTGTGCCTTTTTCTGTTTTATATTTCCAGCAATGGAATGCATTCATTTCCCTGTCTACCATTGCCTGCAACAGAAACTCAGGCCGCTCAGGCAAGTTAATTAGCAGAATTTGCGCTGCAAATATAGACACGACAGGATAACCAATCAGAAGCATCGAATAGTTTCAAACTTTCGGCTGAGGAGGGAAATAGCAAAGGAAGATGTTTTGCATAAGAAAAACATGAAAAGCAATAAAAATACTGTTATTAAAGATATTAGCAAGATTTTGCATACAATCTTATGATGTAACTAAAATTGTAATCATGAATATTTCCATAAGTATAACTAATTTAATTACACTTTTTTCTCTGGGAACTGTAACAGATTACAATAAAAAAAAAAATTGTAATTAAATTACGTAACGCCGTTACATGTAACTCGTTACTCCCCAACACTGCCCACCGGTACCCATCAGCTGCCTCTGGAGTCCCACAGGCCAAAAAGGCTCGATAGGACTCCTTCAGCCTGACGGCATCCCTCACCACCGGTGTCCACCAGCGGGTTCGGGGATTGCCGCCGCGACAGGCACCGACCACCTTATGGCCACAGCTCCGGTCAGCCACCGCCACGATGGAGGCACGGAAGATGGCCTATTCGGACTCAATGTCCCCCACCTTCCCCGGGACATGGGAGAAGTTCTGCCGGAGGTAGGAGTTGAAGCTCCTCCTGACAGGGGATTCCGCCAGACATTCCCAGTGTCCAAGACATGCGGCCGCAAGTCCGATGACACGACTACAAAGTCGATCATCGAACTGCGGCCTAGGGTGTCCTGGTGCCAAGTGCACATATGGACACCCTTATGCTTGAACATGGTGTTCATTATGGACAATCCGTGATGAGCACAGAAGTCCAACAACAAAACACCACTCGGGTTCAGATCGGGAGGGCTATTCCTCCCAATCATGCCACTCCAGGTCTCACTGTCATTGCCCACATGAGCATTGAAGTCCTCCAGCAGAACAAGAGAGTCCCCAGGAGGAGTGCTCTCCAACACCCCTTCCAAGGACTCCAAAAAGGGTGGGTATTATGAACTGCCGCTTGGTGCATAAGCACAAACAACAGTCAGGACCCATCCCCCCACCTGAAGGCAAAGGGAGGCTACCCTCTCATCCACTGCGGTATCTAGTCGGAACTTCACAACCTTGTGCATCAGCTCAGGCTCCTTCCCTGTCAGAGAGGTGACATTCCATGTCCCTAGAGCTAGCTTCTGCAGCCGAGGATCGGACCGCCAAGGTCCCTGCCTTTGGCCACTGCCTAACTCACATTTCACCCGACCCCTATGACCCCTCCTACGGGTGGTGAGCCCATTGGAGGGGGGACCCATGTGCCTTGTTCGGGCTGTGCCCGACCAGGCCCCATAGGTGCAGGCCTGGTCTCCAGCCGCTCGCCATCGAGCCCCAGCCCCAACCCCAGGGAAGGCAGGGACCAGACATGCAAAACAGTAACATTAATGACAGACCGGGGGAAGACTGTTCTGGGAGGCACTTAAATACGGGACTAACAAGGGAGCAAACAGGAGGCAGCTGGGAGTGATTAACACAGGTCAAGAACAAGAGGTAAAACTAAACAAGCACCAAGCGTGGCTCGTTATAGCCACAGCAGGGAATAGACAGGAGGATTAAGCAGATATGCTGGGCAGAACATGACAATGAGTGCAACACTTTTTAATGTATATTCCCATATTCACCTGCTTTCACCTTCATTTCAATATGTGTGTCGCAACCTGAAAATTAATATTACGGGACTTTGAAATGATTCAGTGATTCATGTCACAGTGAAAGATGAGGGTGCCCTGAGACATTCTACAAAGAAGACTTTTTTCAGAATGATGAAAGGCCAGCCAGATCTGTGATGTGGCATCACTGGGAACAGCATGACAGTCATCACTCCTGTGTTTAGGGACAGGCTAAGGGCACACATCCCTTAAAATCTCTTTCACATAACAGAATGGCTTCAGGAATTAATTGCCACAATTTGCCCCAGGTTAGAATTAATTCCTATCTGGATTTTTGTACCAGGAAAGCAAAGATCTAGGAGTCATTTTTAAATGTTTCTGCATGACAATGCTGGTAGGTTTAATATGACTCATATTGCAAAGTTTCCAGGGATGGAAATTTTTCAGATGAGATTTATCAGACTGAAATAGAGTGAGTCTGAACCATCATGCTGATAAACCATTATCTAATCTTATATGCTTTATTTGATTTTCTGAAAACCTGATGACACAATAATGCAAAATACCCTATAAATTCAGAAAAGTTATACAAATTTAGGAACCAAGCTTATGTGACTTCCATTTATCTTATATTTACGTCTATTTTAACAAGAAAGATCTTAAAAGAAGTTGGAAATTTCACTGTCAAAATTTCAAGCTTTTGAAAAATTAATGGAACAGGCATGCAATACAACAGACATCACAGATTTATGATAAGCATGTGAGGCTACTTTAATAATGAGTGAAAATTAAACATTACTTGGATTGAATCCACTGCAAATAAGGAGATATATTCAAACTAAGATAATGCATTCAATAAAGACTAATAAACCTTTCATGGTTAACGGTAAATATTGTATGATTTAGGGCAGTATATTAAACCATTCCTAATCGTCTGATACGGTTGGCAGAAAACTGATTTTGGCTGACAAAAAGCGGCCATGCAAAATATGCCTATAGCGCGCCCTCTGGTGTTACAATTGAGGAAGAACCTGGAAAAAAAATTCATAGGTTAATGCATTTCAAAAGGATAGCAGTAAAACAACCCTTCCGTCCATACATCTTCTGTAATCGCTTGTCCCATTCAGAGTCGCGGGGGGTCCGCAGCCTATCCCGGAAGCTACGGGCGCAAGGCAGGGACCAACCTAGGATGGGTCTCCAACCCATCGCAGGGCACACTCACACCTACGGGTAATTTGGCAACTCCAATTAACCTCAGGATGTTTTTGGACTGTGGGGTAAACCGGAGGACCCAGAGGAAACCACACGACGACATGGGGAGAACATGCAAACTGCACACACGGAACCGTGACGGAAACTGGAACGCAGATCTTGTAGGCTATGTTCTAAACCTCTTACAGTAAAAGTATAATAGCTCAAGAAATATATTGCAAAAAGTTGATTGATGTATAAATTCAAAGGGTTATGCATTATTATGAATAGCATTATAAATAATATTTCTATATTTAATATTCTTCCTGTGGGCTTATTTGTGTCCTATAAAAGCAGGTCAGACCTCAAAGTGACACACCTCAGTCATGCCTCCCGTCTCCAGCCGCTTTAAGGGGGCGACTTTGAAACGCCTACACGCCCTCTGCGCGCCTGCCAGATGCCTTGTCAGCAACGGCTACGTGGCGCCGACAGCCGGTGAAAGGCGGACCGGGAAAAGCCATCAGAAGCAGTGAATTGTATAGTGCCGGGAGGCGGGCGACACATATGCGCGATCCACGTGTACCCTGTCACAACAGGGCAATGCAGCACAGGACACCGGAGTCGCTCGCTTCCTATTACTGAGGTTTCCAGCGAATCGGAATAGATACTCACTATGAAGCAAGTTGATCGAGGACAGCGAACGACTGGTAAGGATTTCTCACGCGAACTCTGTAAGATAGGCCTATATCACAAGCATTACGCTAAAGAGTATATTTAGTTTCGTTTTTATATTGCAGTACCCGATAGGCCGGGATACCGTGAGCGTTACTTAAAATAGCCCAGAGTATCCGTTGGACTTCGGTACTCGATATTGGTTTACAGTATCTAGCTTCTGGCCTGTGCTGAATTATAGATGATGTGTATGCATATATGTGTGTGTTTTTATCGTAAAAGGGGGTCATGGAAAAGAATGACGGAATCCCACAGTGAATAACATTTAATCCTCAGCAGCTACATGGAAATAATAATTAAAACGTGCATTTTATTATTATGTGTGGCTTGAAGGGGAATGCCGGAAACATTGAATCTATTTGAGAAGGATCGGTTTGGATTCTTTGCGTAGATATACGACGATGCTCGCCTTGTGTCTGTGCGCAGGTTTCCCTGTGTGCTCCTGTTGTCACGCGGACATGGCACTGGCGACAGTACTGTCCCTGTTCCTCCTATCGGGACCGTGTCTGTCAGCGCCGCAGGTCCATGGCTCAGAAAGGTAGGCTCGTTTCCTGGATGGACAGTCATGTAAGAAACAGCCTGTACGTACGCATAAAACCTGGCGTTTTAACATGGAGATTATTATTTTAAAAAGAAAATTATTTACCCATTTATTCTGTACTGGCTGTTTGTGATTATAAATTAAAGTTACTTTTGCTTACTGTGCGGGCTACAAGCATAAGAAGTGTGAGAAATATTATGTTGTGCAGCATAACAAAAACGATTTAAGATACATTACATTTACTTTTGTACATTTCTTATATTAGGCAGTATGCTATTTTATTAGTAACGATTAATCAAAAATAATTATGTTTGCTATGCCTATTTACTGCCTATATTAGCTAATAGGTACAGCAAAACAATGTTTAATGAGTCAGACTTTAACAATAAATAATTTAGCTATGGTGTGTATAATCAGTGTGAATTAATGGGTAAATAGCTTAAAATGTTTTGCGTGATACATACAAATGCAAACAGCAATAGCAAACATTGTCCTACTTATTTGTTTCTTCAGGTCGGAGGCTGTCGAAGGGAGTCAACATTTTACCATGATTAACCCTTTTGGTGCTGGGGAGGGGGTGAACAGGTGATTTGCACAGACTAAATACAGGACTGGCATGTTATCAGAACAATACTTGGCATACTGAAAGGCACAGTATTGTGCGTGGGCTCAGGGACTATAGCCTGCACTGTGCATATCTGGTAGTGCTCTGCTGAATGTTTTATAGGCATTGACTTGCAGGAACATAATTTGCAGAATTATGAAGGATAGAAGAAGGATTAATTAAAGAAATATAAAAAATGAACTTAGCGAGAGGATTTTCACAGCTCTTACCACTGCAAATGACACCATTTGGACTGTTATCTCAGACATCCTCCTCCTTCTGTCCCTAGTAGCTAACAGTGCCTGCCAGCAGAGGCAAAGTCCTCAGTCATGGTTATTACAGCCTTATGAGGTTGTTGTTGATGCTGTAGCTGATACCCAAGCTTTCTACTGTGAATTATGGATCGAATAATAACCAGTGTGCTATATGTATAATAACACTGTTGACCTTTGGCAGTTTACGTCAAAGCTACATCAAGGGTAATTTGAAGGATGGACAGATGAATCCTGTGCTCAGCACTTGGGAACAAGGTAAAATATCCATCCATCCATCCATCTTTCAGTCGTTTATCCAGGTCGGAGCAGGGACAAAGAATTGATTCCAACTTTGTTGTCTGCACAGAGGTATTCTTCCTCTTTTCCCTTCATGACTATGACAAAAGCGGAAAGATGGATGGGCTGGAGATGATGAAGTTACTCTCAGACTTCCTGTCTCACCATTCGCTGGGCCCACAGTCTGCTGATTCTGTGAGTGGCACCTCATTGTGAGAGTGCGAGGATGCAAGATGAGTGACTAGCTAACCCATTTTAACCGGCATCCCCAAGGTTAAATTGTGACACATCTGTGTGAATGTGAACATTATATTTTGAACCAAATTTATATTATGAAGAATAGGATGAAAAGGTTCTGAAAAACCTTGATCCAAAGGCTTCATAATTTACCATAGTGCACAGTTTTATAATTAAGGATTCAAATAAGTGTTTTCAGACATTTATTTTCAAGCTAGCTAGGTACAAAAGACTGGCAAACTCTGTATTTGACAGAAATTAGATACATTGATTCTGAATGGGGAACGTTTGCCCTTTTTATGATAAATACATATGGTGTGAGGGGCGGTGTGTGGCTCAGCGATTTAGTATGTTGTGTCTGTAATCAGAAGGTCACCATTTCAAATCCTGTGGTTGGCAGAATGATTTCACAATTGTGAGCATGGCCATTCACCCCCAGTTACTCTAGGAACTGTCTGATCGCTGTCTTCTCAATTTTGCATCGCTTTGGATAGTACTGTCTGCTGTAAGAAATGTATGCTATTATTTGACTATAATATATAAAGACTATAAACAAAGAATAAAGGCATTGTTTTTCTTCTTTCAGGTTGTCTCCATGGTGGATTCTCTTCTACAGACCCAAGACTTAAATGAAGATGGTATGCTGGACCCCTCCGAGCTGCTCTCCCCACCAACAGAGGCCCAAAAATCTAAGCAGCAGGTAGCCACAGCAAATGAGCCGAGCTCTGACAACGCGCCCGCTCATGACTCACACGACACTGCAGCTAACGAGCAGGAGCAGGGAGACTCAGTGCCGGGACAGGAGGTGCAGGGAGAGCAATATGGAGGGCAGCAGGAACTGGATGTGGACAAACAGGAGGCACAAGACCTAACAGAGGAAGCGGGGGTGGCACATGAAGAGCAGCCAGAGGAGAGGCAAGTGGAAGAACCTCAGCACCAAGTCAGAGAGCACGTTCCTGCTCACCAAGGACAGCCTGAGATATAACTGCCCAAAAAAAGCCTGAGACACTCTGCCCAAAAAGCAGGAGTCAGCCTTAAAAGGGGGACTACAGATGTGACACTATGCCCAACTTAGAGACAGAAGGGGCTGATTTCCACTCTGGAGAATAAACACGGTTTGTCACCGCAGCTGGCCATTTCTACAATTACAATTATTTTTTTACCTCACCCTGCAGCTTACGATTATAATTATTGTAATTATAATTGTAATTGAAAAGCCAATTTACAAAAGTCACTCAGGGCATCTTTTTGATGTTTTTGAGATGAGACTGCCAATGACCTAAATTCAGGCTTCCGCATCATATGTTACAGTACTAGGACCCAAAACTTACTCAGGCAAACCCTGTCATTATACCTTCTAAAATGTATCTGAATTGGATGTACTCAAATTGTATTTGGTTATATATCCAGCTGTAGAAAAACTAATATTTAGGCCACAATCCATGTCCACAAAACTGTCTGATGTCCCTAATAAGATTTTTTAATATTGATCTTTTCAATTGAGCGACATATTGCAGCATGCATCCTAAGAAATTAGTATGCAATTTGCATGAATCAGTGACTTCTTGCAGGCAAAATAAAATTTAGGAAAGTAAGTATTTACTGTGTGAAGGTGCATTTTTTAACGCTATTTGTAACTGCGTTAAACAGAGCTGCTTAGGCCTTGGTAATATGCATGGCCTTGTCTAACCAAACATATCAAATAACAGACTAACAGTCTCTTGCTAACTAAATGTTTGGTAGCAATTGGCTTGGTTTGTTGGTTGATAAGGGCCAAACCCTGTAACCTTGGGGTCAGAATGGGCTTTGAAAAAGTGAAGCAGAAGGTGAATTAAAAAAGGCTTTTAACAACCAAATTTTACATTTCACAATCTATTTTGTATTTGATTTTTTTTATTTGTCAGTTAAATTGGACAACAGTAGCAATGGTAAATATCAATAGCATGACAATAAAATGATATAATATTGAACTTTAATTGAAAAATAGTATTCAGCTACCCAAAACATCATGTTTAAATGGAACTCCCCATTCAGAGTGTGACTGTTGAAGTAGTTAGTTATGTCAGTCATTTGGAGTCATATATTTCAAGAATGCACTTAAGTGGCAAACTATTGTGGTCACATTAAATCCAGTCCAGTACCAATTCTTCCCCAGTTTTTGTGGGTCTTTTCAGGGTCCTCCAATTACCTCTAGCAGCCAAAAGCTACCATTCAGGTGATTATAAATTTCTGTTGTATCTGAATTTTTAATGTACCCTGCAGACACCCTGCAGTATGCTGCGATACAACATCACAAATTCAGGTAGCGGATGAAGTGGAAGAAAATATTTATTTATAAATGTACATTATTGTTTAAGAAAGTATGTAAAATTTGATATTCAACATTGGATATAACTCAACAGTGCAATCAATATCCTCCTGAGATCTGGAGAGAAAAATGCTTCTAATATTCATGTGGCATGCATAATATTGGACATATGAGCAGAAACATGTTTTGTACAGAGGACAAAGGGTCGAGGATATTTTAATTAATCTGTTAATATTACACAATGAACACTAGAGAACGAAAAAACTACAGATCTGGACATGACAAATTGTGATACAGATTGTAAGCTGTTCAGTTACCTGTGAGTACATGTACATAGTTCAAGTCCAGTATGAAAATTTCTGAAATGTAAATTTGCTACTAAACATGTCAGAAGTACAAATAAATGACCTGTTCAGCCAAATCCTTTTGGCAATTTTTGTCATAAACTAATTTTTATTATCATACCTTACCTGATTGGCTGAAACATCTTCCATTCTCTATGAAAATGACAAATCAGAGGGAAGGGAGACCCAAATTAAAGCCTTCCTCTGTATTGCCATTTTATAGTATTTACAGTACTTTTGCCTCATGTTCTCAATGCAAATCAGGTTTCAGAATGATGTATTTAATTCTGCAGGATGTAAATGTAAAGCTAAATAATTTAGAAAAACGATGTTTGGTAAATTGTTATGCAACGCTATTAACTGTCTACGCAGTAACATTCTCCTTGTCTACATAGGCCTGTGACATCAGTGATATGCAAAATACAGTGATTGGGGGTACAAGTGACTGTATAACTTCCCCAGATACAATAAAACTTGAATTCTGCTGTGCAATGTGTACAATAATGTACAGAAACATGCATTTTCCCCTACAACATTTGTATGCACTGCTAGTCATTGTGATGCCTCACCCCTTTCAGATGTGGAAAAAAATCCTTTTTGATTTCTGTCACTGCATTTAGGTAAGGCAGAGGAATCAATTTCAGTCAATAGGTCACTTTGGACCTAAACTAGCAGGGTGGGCCAAGAAAATGTGTAGTAGGGTTGTAACACATGGACAGCACATTTAACATTTGTTTTTGTTTATGTAAGAAGTAGAATAGTGAGGTACATTCTGAATGCTCAATCAGATTAATAAATCAGATACAAATAATGAAGACAAATTCCTTTTGATAAATGTTAATTTTCTAGTGTATCATTGCTTCAATGGTTTACAGCTGCCCTGACAATTATAGAACAGTCGTGGTACTTATCAAAGCATAATTACCAAAATAATGTGAGAAACTGACAGTGCAAGTAAACAGAACTTCACCTGCTTGTGATCTGTTACAGTAAGTTAGCCAAATATCTGCCATTCAGTGCAGTTTATGTAAAATCGTAACACCCTGTGTCAGTAATTGGATGGATGGTAGTGAGGGTTTTTTTTTTAATCAATGTGTCTATTTTAAGATCACTCTGCAGGCTGCCTTTATCGAACAGATTCTGGCTCACATTTGACAGCCCAGATGTAAGAGAAGGCTAATTGTTGCAATACATTTAAACCTGGCTTAACTCCATCTTGAAATATGCATGCAGTATAATATACAAACTGAAAGCTGCACTGGGTACAGCCGTTAGCCTGACTAGATCTTTTCCTATCTCCAGTGTCATTTGTGATTTTCATGGACATGTTATAAAGGTGCAAGAGAAGCAGTCTGAAGACGAAATGAAACACTGATTGGGTACAGATGATTTATTTGTTTAAATACATCTTCTCATTTAAAACACAAAAATAAAAATCTAAAAAGCAAATATTTTTTTTCCCCCCCGAAGGGAAAAAAAGTCTTTAAAAGAATATCATATTTGCAACATGGCACTTCAATCATATTAAAAAGTGCATCTATATATCACCATATTCTTAATCTTCGTATAAATAAATTCATTGGCACATTTTAGAGTTTAGTGCCATTTGGGGGGTGACTGGGAAGGAACCTGTCCTATGTTTTTATAAAAACAAAAATGAGAAATAATCATAGAAATCTGATCGCCACTGAAATGCTGAGTAGAAAGCCCTTGGCTAACTGGCCAAACATAAAAAAATAAAATATTTCAGAGATATCAGTAAAAGTTACAATGTACCCATCCTGCTTTTAGATTCACCTCTAAATCTTGGGCATCCCAGCAACTATCATTGACTCAATCCCACAGTGGTTCTGTCCTCGTAAAATTTTGAAGTATCCTAAAAAAAAAAAAAATACTTCACAATGAGCAAAGCTGAGTGTCGTATAAAGAAATTGGTTAAGAAACTTAGTGATACCATTCGTTTGATGAAAGCATTTGTACAATCTACAGACAAGCAAACAGAGGATGTTCAAGATACGACATGTGATTGAGGACTAGAATCCTTACCAAATTAATCCCTCATCTGGATCTTACCTTTGTCACCCCAGTCTGTGTTCCAGGAATTAGCGGCCAGCCAGTAGGGGGTGCCATTCTCCGTACCCCAGCCCAAAATCTTGATAGCATGGCCACCTACTTCCGTGCCACTCACATGCTGATACACACCTGCAAAAGAACGTACGATCACGACTGACCGTCTACAGTTTTGTTACTGAAACAATTTGTTGTTACAGGGACAGTGGAGTTTCTCCCCCAAATGGCAGACATCTCTGCAACAAACATGGGTGAAGTGGTTGCTAAGCAACTTAAGCATGCAAGAATCTTTGGACACAGGGTAAAGTAAAATTAATATGCAGCACAACGATTACCTCATGCCACAGTAATAAAGATTTTCTGTCTAACGCGCTAACAACTGAACTTATGCAGCTCCCTCTGTTTAGCCCCTATCGAAGCTGAATGAATCCTCACCAGACTTGTACAGCAGGAAGTCATCAAAGACAATGAAAGCGCCCTCTACAGGTCCATTCTTGTACAACTCAGTCATGATGTCAGCCTCCACCGGATTAACTTGGTAAGTAGACAGTCCTGCAGGATATTTACAGTTTTGAGCAGAGAAGTTGTTCCCAAATGTTACATAAGGCTGCATTACAGGAAATAAAATCCACAGGAAATTCTCATCTTGTTGTACCTAAGGACACCCATTGTGAAGCATATCGTGTGTTTTAACCCAGAACTCAAGTTACTTTTATTTTATTTAGATAAATTGGGATAATGGCCAGCAGGTGAAGCAGGCTGAGAGGCGGGGTTATACCCTGCATCATGAATCAGTTTTGAATAAATTCTACCATCTTAACATATTGTCACTGTCCAATGAAAAAATCCATTACAGGAGCATGGAAAAAAAACGCATTTTCTCATAAGCTACCTTATAAAATAAACCTAAAACAACATAACAGGGCTCTAGATTGTGACCAAAATTGTCATAGTTGTGACCTTTTATTAAGAATGAGATTTTAGATGTCATTTGTGCTGTGCAAGTATATGATAACTACTAGGATGTTACGGGTACCGTGTTAAATAATGATTGAAAGTTTTTTCATCTTCCCTGGTTCATTGTTTATGTTTTTTTTTTTTTTAATTGGTTTCTCATTACCTGCACCCAGGGGGACGTAAATATATGCAAACTGATGATAAAACGTGCAAAATCGAGGTGTTAAAGCGAAGCTGTGGTGCCGAAAAAGGAGGCGGTCTACTGCTGATCAAAAACAAACTGAAGAAAGATAATGAAGAGGGAGAGCCAAAGAGAGGTCCTGAGAGTGATTCAAATGATGGTGAGAATCAACTTAAAGATAATATTCACATAAAAATATTTAGCAAGAACAGGAATTTGCCCCCTTCACATTCGCATATTTGAGTTTCAGGGATTCAGTCAGTCACGAGTTGGCCATGAACAATTAAACAGGAATATTTTTGCAGCTTGCCGAAAGATCACACAAACTCGTAGGATGCGCAAACCAAGTAAAATACTGAAAATGATTTGGGTCACTTAAAAATTTGTTCATGTAAGTGCACAGGTTTACCAACTCTCACCCATCTGGCGTGACGCTCACCCAAGAAATCTTACGGCAAATTTATATTGATAATGGCAAATGTATATTTGCAGCTTGTCAGGGGCCACATCGAAGCTGCTCTTCCCAGCTCCCTGGACCCACTCCAGTTTGGCTACCGCCCAAACCGATCATCTCACTATGTACGTATACACAGCTACTGGTGACAAAGTACCTTGAACCCTGAATATTATTCCACCATAATACTAAAATTAGCTATATTAAAAGCGTTCCAGGCAGTTTGCAAACCCTACAGACTATTACATACATGTAAATACATGTGCATGCATATGCAGACTTGTCTCGAATTAAAAATGTCACGCCAGCCAGCAGACCGAAGTTGGCAACCCCGATTGCATGCTCAAACTCTCGGCTTGGGTACACCGTGCATCTTTGTCTCAGTAACCAACCTCACTGATGTAGCTGTCCGAGTGACCATGGGATCTTGCATTTCTCTCAGTAACTTTTAAACTTTCATTGATGTTAATTTTACATTTTTAATAATGAGTCAAAACGTAGTGCTCCCAATGTATACAGTAGTAACTTTGTACATGCAGGGGCTTAATTTAGATGGTTTGTATATTATATAAAAATATCTTGATAGAAAACGACAATGTGATTTGTCATGCAAAGTGTACAATACTGTTTGGTTAGAAAATGGTAATAAATAAACTTTGATGTAATCGTTCAGGCTAGCAGACTATTGTAGTAGCAGTTAGGGGTGCCTTTATTTATAATAAAAGTATTATTCGTGAATTGTTACATTCGCGGAGATTTGCCGATCCTAAGCCTCACAAATGTGAAGCTGTTACTATATCAAGTCTTGAGTCACTATCAGTCTTTTATCAATACAAAAAACAGGTTATGGAAATTATCACAACTATTCATCAGCAAGCAAGGTCATTAATACCATGCTGCACCAAAAAGGAAGGTGTAACCAAATAAAACGGTGGCGCAATCAACTGAAAAGGTTGGCACATCCTCAGCACCGCACCACAACCAGAAACCTGTCTTGACGCAGACACCAGTGAACGGTTTAATGCTTTATATGGATTTATGTGGGAAATACGTCAATGTCAACAAGATACAAACTAATCTTAACTTATATTCACAATTAACAATATGTTTGCTATCTAGCTATAAACATAAATTGTTAAAATTAGCACTATAAATTAATCCATGCAAACAATGACTAGCTAAACAGTTTATAAATAAAATATATCTTCACTGGTCAATTAGATGTCATTCGCTATCAGTAGACAGAGGGGAATGGGCGTATTCCATCTATAGCAAAAAGTCAATGTTTTTCATCACACACGGACAATATGTTAATACATTTTGGTCCATAAACACTTTGTACGGTTTAATCTTGTCTAGTTAAGCTAATCACCTCATTAACTTACCAAAATGTTTATCCTGCTTATAAGGAGGGGTGTAACCAGGCGCACATTGCATTAGGCACTCTGGCGTGTCTCCCCCCTCTCCCGTACAAGACGGCCGGGAGCCATTGACATGGTGCTCACATGGTGGGATAGTGTAGGGTCGACAGCCTACAAGTAAGCAAGGTATGTCAGCAGTCCCTCATTACTACATTCTACAGACCTTTTTTTAGTTGAAACATTTTATACATTATAATAAATTCCAATGAATTAAAGAACTAATTCAACCGATTGTCAGTTAGAGCATCATGTGTGGCGTCCAATCATAGCCCCACTAGGCACCACTCACCTACATGCGAATCATACAGCCCGCCAGTTACCAACCCATCCTGGGACCAGAATGTCCAGGCAGCAGAAGGATATCCTCCATTGCATCTATGTATTTAATAAAAAAAAAAAAAAAACAGTTTTCAAAATGATTCATTGTACGTTTCCCCACATTTCTTCTAGCCACTTCACCTGGCCTGGGTCATGCATATGGGAAAATTAGGATCAACAGACCTTTTGTACCAAGTCACTATTTAATCTCATCTTGAAACCGATCGTCCTACACCAGACCTAGAGCCTATCCAAGGCATATGGCACAAGGCTGGGGTACACCGTGCATGAATGCCGGTCCATACCCAGCTCTCAGCCATTAAGGTTTGAGGTGTGCCAGTCAAACACTCTTCCTTTTCACTTAAATGACTTAAAAAAAATATATATATGTTTAGAAATACAACATTTTTTGACAATATTGACAGCCCAGATGTATTCCTTTAACAAGAAATCACACACAAGTCATAGAAACAGCCCTTTTTCTGTAACGAAATCATGCCGCACGCACACACACATAATCTCTCACCCATATCCACAATCTTTGCAGCAGGTCAGCAGGTCCTGGGCAGAGATCTCTACATTTACCTTGGCGTTGCTATGGATACATATTCTGTCAGACATAGCTTCAGACGCTCCAAAAGCCTGCAGTTACAAATACCCGTCAACACCATGTGACAAAACGAGAAAAACACTTGCTGAATTTTTCCATAGCATTTGGAAAATTTCAGCCTTAGAAGGGACATTTTAGCATAGAAAATGTTTCATTTTATTAAATTTTTGTATGTATCCTTTAGAACTTCATCATCACCATCATCATAAATAAGTCTTTTAGCCCTAATAGGAACATATTTGCACAGAAGATGTGTTGTCGGTAACTTTGCTGAGCTTTGAAGGCAGATCACACATCTTTTGACATAAACACCATGGAGGTTTAAATTAGCCTTTACGTGCAGATGTCCCAGTCAATTGCGATGGTACAAATAGTTTCATGATTACATGTGCCCCTGCTAGGACACATTCATTTTGAACAAAAGCACTAACTATGCAGGTACATCTCCAAATCTTGTGCATTTTACCCAGCAAGAACCGCAGGATCCCTGGTCTCTGATCTCCTTGATGGTGGGACAATTGGGCCACTGCTCCCGTGGATCAAATGTATCAGGCAGCTTGATGTCTCCGGCATACCGTTCCCTGCAGACAGGAAAAAGGCAGAATGAAGGCCATTAGCAAATTATAGGAAAGCAAATGCAGCTGAAGGATAGGGGAATGAAACTGAAAGTGACTATGCAAATGTTTAATATGTTTTACAAGCTGTGAGAATCCCCTCAATTGGGGTGACACAAACCATGACACGGGGTTTGGAGAGGGAATTATAGTTTATAAGGGGGTTTCCTCATAAAGGGGGTTTCCTCATAATGAGGATCTTTATTTTTTGGTTTTTTGTGTGATGTTAATCCCATTACTTATTAGGGGGTTTTCCTCATAATAATCCCCTGTCTAGTCAGACAGGGGTGGAAGAATTAAATTTAAACTAGAATCCAGGGCCAAAATAAGACCACAGTACTGGTTTATCTGGGTCAAACAAAAACTAAAAATAAAATACACAACATGTCAATTTATAGATAGAGGGGATAAGGGACACTAGAACTAATTAAAATGTAAAAGTCTGATCTCCTGACTTTTACACTGAGGTAACCATATCAGAACAACATATTGGGAGAGCAGATTATCAAGAATGATGATTTCTGTGAATAACACAAAAATCAAGACTTTACCATTTAATCTGCAAAACTCACAGTGATAGCACGTTTTTCAAGGCAGCAAAGAGACTTACAAGACTGGGAGCTTAGGTCCATTCATAAAAGTTCCACACAGCGTTTTCACATAGCTGTAGTCAACCTTGTGGAAGTTGTGACCAGCCTTGGGGTGAAACCAGAAAGAAAATCAGATCCTCGTATCATCTCATTATCTGGGCACGGCTCACCTGGAGAGAATGGCTGAACCATCCACATATGCAATAACCTTGCTAATTCGCTTCTCATCGACCTCCCATTGAACTTCAATTGTCATCAAATGGAGATAGATCAATGTTAATCAACTACACTGTAGGCTATATTCATGCCTTAATTTTACAGCTCATGTATATGCGTGTGTGCCCACAACGTGATAAAAATCTGTTACTTTTTACTTTGTAGAGATATTCTTTTTTTTTCAGTTTCCACAAGAGGAAACTCAATTTGATAATCTATAAATGCAATCAAAACACTAAGAATGCCAAAAGGCTTATCTATTGTTTGGTTACTTATGGTTAAGGTTGGGCTGCACGATTTGGGGAAAATATCGAATCGCGATTTTTCCGACAAATTGCGATTACAGTTTGATTTGCGATTTAATTTTTTTATGTCAAGCTTCAGTTCAATATTCAGTGTGTAGTAATTTTAAAACATATGACGTAGCATGAGATACCATCAGTATTAACTGGTCTATATTCTAATGCAAGGATGAGAATTTACAGATGTGATATGTCAAGTTAAATAAAGTAATAATGAAAACAATTGCAGCAAAAAGAAAAATAGCGATCTTGCAGGTATAACGCTTATTACCCTCATAATAACACTAGAACCGCCTTTTCCCACGAAAATGAACAAGCAAGAACTACTTCGGTGTATGCAGCCCTTTTGTTTGCGCTATTGTGTTGTTAGCTGCTGTTATTAACACTAATAATTAACACTCAAAAAACCATAGTATTCATAACAGAGTGGCTGTTCTGTCCTGAAACCGTAAAGCTGGAAATTTTTTAACGTAGTATGCATTTTATAAAATGTTGAATAAATAAATTGTCGTTTTTTGGTGATTTCATGTTGGTCGAAGTTTCTGCTTTTTAACAACTGTATACGGTTATTTTCTATACAAATCAATTCAGGTGAAACAAAAAATGTACGTGTTCATGGTTGCAAACTCTTTCAGACTCTCACGCAAGAAATCTTACGGCAAATCTATATATATATATATTCCATTCTGAACTTAAAATTAGCTGCATCAAAAACGTTACGTTTGCAAACCCTACAGACTATTTACGAGGTAATAAAACTTACAGTACATACATGTAAATGTGTGTGCAGAACAAAGAACAGAAAATCTCACTCCATGCAGCTGACCAAAGTTGCCAACCCTGCATTTTATTTTACATGAGAAGTAAAAATGCAGTTTTCGACTGAAGCAGCTTATCATTCCTTTGCTTTGTTATGCGGACAAATACAAAACAAGTGATTAAACATTATATGCCTCTTTTTTGTATGTTTTCTAAATAAGACCGCGTGCCCATACCCAACTGTAATAGCGATTAAAGCGATCTATTCTTTTAGTATTTATGTTAAAGCAAGACTTTTATTTTATTACTGTTGTGGGATTAAATTTAATAAGCACAAAAACATATGACAAACACGACTGTATTGTGGGTTTTACGGCCTTTTTTGGAGGTGACTGACTACGCTGCTGTGAGAATCACTGGCTGTCTCATTGTTGTTTTGATGGGTTAGCAGTATACCAATGCTATTGACCTATTAACAAAAAATAAAAGTATGATAGGCTGAAGTATATTGCAGCTGGTGTTTAAAAGGAGCTCGCCGGTTCTATTGATGATAGGACCTTTCTGAAACAATCTCGGACCATGAAATAGGAAGGCAATTCACTTATAGCTCAGTAGAAGAATCAGTATTTTTCCGCACATGTACAGTAACATTTGCCTTGGGTTTCACGTGTTTGCGGGCCTATACGCCTTCTTGGGCCACTTCTGATTGGTGAGCATGACTGGCACGCGAGAAGCACGGCGCTTGTGATTGGTGAGAATGACTGTCACACAGGGAGCACGGCATAAATTTGTAAAACTATTCTCACAGCAGTTTTAAACCCTGGGTCAGACGTGCTGTATAATGTATATCCTAAATCACGATTTTTGCGACTTGCTAATCTCGTTGTTTCAAATCGCGATTTCGATTTGAAATCGATAAATCGTGCAGCCCTAGGTTAGGGCTGGGTAGGGGATAGAGTTGTCATAGTCAGGATTACGGTTATGTCCACAGATGAAATGAATGGGATCGATGTAGATACCTATTGTGTGGGTGTGTATACATGTGTGTTTTACAATAGCATTTCTAATCTTAGGTAACTTTTTCATTAGAGTAATGCTTTATGAGACTGAAAATTGATGGAAGAAACTGCTTATTTTTATTAAAGAAATCATACATTACCAGCGATGATTAACAGTAACAGTCTGTGCTTACCGTCCATGTTGTGTTGGCCTTGTTAATATAATTCACCATCTCCTGTGAGAGTGGAGGGGGATGCACAGCCAAACCAATGGCCAGGAAGGACAGTAACAAGGGAAGGATCCACATTCTGTAACGTAAAATGTTTAGACACTGTTTGTCCTAATGGTATTAATATAGTGCTATGCTATGTATGTATGCTGTTATACAACTCAAACAGTGCAGGTCGAAGCCCACGTGGATACTCTGCTGAAAAAACCAGCACACATGGTTCGAATTATGGGGGGTACTGTACCCCCTGATCAAGACCCAGACCCCCCAAAGAGACAAAAATAGCAGTTTGGGGGGGGGGGGTGGTGGTCTTAACATTTTTCTGTTGTAAAAGAAAAAAAAAAAAAGATTAAATTTTCCTACAAGGTGAGGTTATGTAAAACGATTTCAGACACTCCTAATGTGGACCGTAGTATTTTAACCACCTCGGCGCTAGAAGCAGCCAGTCGGTAATTGCATCATAGTACTGTTTGCCGTGCATTGGTAAACGTACTGTAAATAGCCAGCAGAAGTCTAGCCTGTTGAAAATGTGTTATTTTACAACCTTCATTTATTCGTTTGTTTCATCTACTGATGCAAGCTGACGTCTTTATAAGTTGAATTACTTACCATTATCCTTCTGAGGCCGGTGTTCTGTCGAGTCGAGCTACTTTGTCAAAGTAAGCTACCGTAGTGCTAATCGATAGCCCTAACCATAGATTACCTCGACAAAGTAGCTCAACTTGACAGAACACCGGTTCAGTCAACGTTAGTTGGTAACTAGCAAGATAAGCTTGCTAAGTTCTCTTTTTAAATCAGGCTTATTTGTTAAGGTAAAATCGATCATGGTCATTTTCCAAGGAGATGAACTTCCCATGTTTTCATTTCTCATTTTATCACGAATAAATTGTGCCTTTCTGAAATTAATTCGCCACTTAGCCTGTGTGGTTTGTTATTAGGCTAATGTTAACGCATAAAAAGGTCTAACGTTATGCTCTGAAAAAACATTACTATAAGTGAAACCTATAGGGGCAACGTAAAAAAAAAAGCTAGCAAATAAGCCCTATTATTTGAATTTTAGTGGTATTGATTCTGCATTCCACAATTTCATATTTATAAACATTTTTAGAAGCTTCATCTGATAGCCCAGATAATGTTTTGTTGAATATAGATTTGATTTTATTCACAGACACACTATGAGGAAATGGAAAGATGGAGACATCAGACACTTTCTTGGTAGTAAAAGAAGTAGGGAATATTTATGTTAAGAGCTACAGAACATTACACTAAAAGTATAGGTGCAGTTTCGCAAACTTAATGTGTATGAAGGAAAGTGGTGGTCAGCAGAAAGCAGGAGAGGCACAGGAGCAGGCAGCAGGGAGATGGCAGGATCAGGACTGTGCAGGCAGCAGGGAGACGGCAGGATCAGGACAGTGTGCAGGCAGCAGGAAGATGGCAGGATCAGGACAGTGTGCAGGGAGATGGCAGGATGAGGACAGCACACAGGCAGCAGGAAGATGGCAGGATGAGGACAGCACACAGGCAGCAGGAAGATGGCAGGATGAGGACAGCACACAGGCAGTAGGAAGATGGCAGGATCAGGACAGTGAGCAGGCAGCAGGAAGATGGCAGGATGAGCACAGCGCACAGGACCAAGAGGTGAGTTAGAAATTAGGTTGTACAATTAAGATCTACTATATCATCAAGACAGATATTAGCCTAATAGGCAAATATTTATTTCTGAAGACTGCTGTTTGTAAATGTATAGGCTTATTGCTTTTACTAGTATACTTCTTCTAGGATAATTCCTGGGAGTTATCAAAACCAAGTTCTTTTGGATAGGGATAAGGATAATGAGATCTTCTGTATTGATTCTCATTTTGTCGCATGTCCAGACCATGACCGTGTGTTGCATACATGTTAGTAAACACCCCTAGCGCATCTTGCACTCTTAACATTGATCCTGGTGGCGACTATTCATATTGACGTGGTAGCGGACCATAATGGTCATAGAAGTGTTATGAAGGCAGTACCCCCCAATTATGGAGGAGTAATTCACACTAACAGCACAGACCACCATAGTTGGTTACCTGTATGAACAGCATAATGCATGTGGTTACCCCAGCATCTGTTGTGTTTATGAAACATTGCTGGTGGACAAGCTTCATGTGCAGGTAGACCAGCACAGTATGCTGGTTCTCCAACTATACCAGCACCAAACCAGCACTAACCAGCATGGAAACCAAAGGAAGAAAGGGAAGCACAGTAATAGGTCGTAACAGAGTCACTTCCAGTTTCAACCCGTTGACGTGGTACTATCCAGAGCATTATAATGAAAAATATTTACCACAGACTTACCCTGGAATCCCGCTTATCTGACCTAAATTACAGTATAAAAACCATAAGCTTCTAACTGCCAATAATACACATTTACGAGGTTTAAACTATGCTATGAAATAGCACCTTATAGTACGTCGTATGACTTTGTCGAACTTATGCTAACACTCGAAGTTCTCCGTAAATCAAAAAATGCTGAGGAAAGCTTAGCATTATCACTCTCCTTATTACTAAAGCATGAGAGGAAGTAACGTTCACCTTGTTCCTTTTCTGTTTTCCAGCAGTCAGCCTGTCATAACCAAGACACACATTGGGACATCATTACAAACTTAAAACTAAAATAAAAACAATACCTTTTAAATTGTTAAGAGATACTAATTTACAAGTGTGGTAATGACACCATGTCCATCTAGACCAGGGGTGGCCAATCTTATCCGCAAAGGGCCGGTGTGTATGCAGGTTTTTCGGATAACCTGTAGGTCAGCTGATCAAACCCAGGTGTGAGGACTTTTTAGCCAATCAGTCCTCTAATTAGTGACCTAATTAGGGAGTTGCAGCGAAAACTTGCATACACACCGGACCGGCCCTTTGCGGATAAGATTGGCCACCCCTGATCTAGACTGAAGTTTACGATTAGAAAACGAAACGAAACTAAATCATCATGTCCTACATGCAGTTATGAGACGAAAAGCAGAGCATTCCTTATCTGTAACATCTAGTTCAAATTACAAAAAAATACAAGCACTGGGTTTAGATTTCACTTTCTCAGTTATTAATAATTACATACAACTAAATTACAGATTGCAGCTATATCCTTACACACAGCCGACAGTATCTGCGCCACTGTAAATGTTAACCTAATATCCACAAGCTATTTTAAGATACACAGAATACTTCGTTTAATACGACCTACGGCATAAAAATACTGAAAGAACAAAATATTACATGAGAAAAACACCAGACAATACAAATTTAAACTATATTATATTGGCAACACAACCAATCGTTACTATGGAAGACAGATATAGCAATACAATTGGGCCACACTGGTGACCGTTAACCGTTGTTTCGCAGCGGATTAATTAACCAACTAATGGTTCAGCGCCAACAGAAAGATTAAAAACCTACAAACTCTCCGTCCAACTAGGGCATCAGGCAAGCTTGATTAGATTGACATTTCATTTTTATACGTGAAAATACCAAAAATGCAGTAGCGCTGCATTACGATTATGAAACTCGCAAAGCACCTGTATGGGTCCTAATATTGCCAAAGACGAACGTCGCCTAACTCACCTCACGCCCGTTTAGTCTGAAGCTTTCGATTCGCATCATTTCGGCAAGGTGTCATATGACTGTTACGTGGCTTCCGAGTCTACGATAGTCATGTGACTGTAGAACTGGAAGTTAATTATTTTAAGTTTCTGAATCTTCGAGTGCTTACTACCCATTGACGTACAATGAATAAAGTAACTTTATATGTAATGCAAATTAAATTAAAAAAACAGCAGTCATTGAAGAATGACCTTTGTTGGGGATCTTTTCCAGATACCAGAAGTAAAGGTGTTTATTTTCAATTTATTTAGACATAAACAATCCATACTGAAAAAAGCCTTTGTTTACAATTGTGTCATATCATTCAGTTAACGTAATATGTTTTTCTTTATAATAGTCAATATTTAACCACCGTTCATGTACTTGGGTACATTATATTCCTATCAATTGTCTGGCTGTAAAAGGTGTTGACTTACTGAAAGTTTAACTATGTGACACATGCATTTGCTAGGCATGAAAATAAAACAACTCATTTGAGAAGAGTATATAAGATGTATATGTATGTGTATTCATAAGTATGACACATTTTAAGGAACAGAAATTTCCTGTTACATTGTTTGTTCTATCTTCAGTTTGACAATCTAATTATACTAACAAAAAATGGTGTTTGAAGGCAATTTACGTTTTCATGGTAGCTGTCTAATCATAAAAATGCATGTGCTGCACTGTCTGCACTTTAAATTCAGTTTTACATCCAATATACACATAATTTGCAGTGTCATGTTTTTGTATTTGCATTTTGTTTTGTACAGTATGTAGTTTGTGAAGTACATTGTCCAATTAATGTGCATGTATATATATATGTGTGTGTGTGTGTATTGAAGGGTTGACAATAAAGATCTCTTGAATCTTGTATATAATGAATTCTATGTTTTTACAAATATGCATGTATATGTATGTAGATCTCTCCTTGTAGTTAACTAAACCTCAAATTAAAACTGACTTTTTTAATGAGACATTTCTTGGCTCTTGTTTTCTTTCTTTAAGCTAAATTTGTCCATTCTGGACTGTGATGTTCTGTAGGGTTCACTTTCAGGCCACTTAAGAGATATCCGTGAACACGATATGATACTTGTTGCTGAATCCTGAATCACCTGGCTACCCTGTAGATCCCCCCCCCCCCAAAAAAAAAAACAAGACCAGGAGTCCCTTTGAATATAATGACTAGATTAAATGATGTAAAATAACTTATTTCCAGGAGCTATAACAATGAAATTATAAGTGTCCATCTTCAAACCACCTGTCATTTATGAAGAGCCTGATGGCCAGTTGGAAAATTAACAAGGAGTCAAGGATTTTTTTAAGACTGAGACCATTCAAATAAGGCCAAACACAGACATCGCCGCCAGTCAAGCATTCTGTGTGGATCTCATGTTACCTGGGTCTTGGAAAAAAGAAGGTAGGGAAGAATCCTCTCTTAGAGTTTGTGAGAAGAGCCTTGTGAGCTGCTGCTTACATGGTGGAAGTTCTGGCGAGTCTGAAAGTCATGACGAAGTAGTTTTGTGCATCAAGTTTTTTCTCAGCCAACTTCTCACTAGGGTCTAAAGTCACTGGTTCCTCTTAGAGCCAGCAGCTCTAGAGTTTCAGTTCCTCTGTCTCTTATTCCTGGTTCCTCACTGTAACCGGTGATGATCATGATGGTGTTAGCTATTCTATCTTTGTTAAATTGCTTATTTAAATATGCATACAATTATCAAAATGCACGCTGGTCAAGCGGATCCAGTCTGTGGCAACAGCCAGCCAGCTGTTTGATGCAATTAGTTTTGTCAGCCATTAAACTTAGCAGTGACTCTGAGTCTCTGAAAAGTCCATACCACATCATACAAGTTGAAAAGCATCAATTTAAAGCTGTATAAACCTCTCTCATGGACAAAAGATGTTTGGTTTTGCTTTAAATAGTAATCTGATACAGGACACAAAAAGGGCTATGTGCAGTTTCACGCTGGATGACAAAAAAAAAAAAATAGTTCATAAGACTGACTGTGTATTTGTAAATCTGAATAGAATTTATGGAAAACACATGACGGTCTGTTTGGACAGGGAACAGATCCAGAATGACAGACTGGGGGATGAAATGGGATGTTTATTAATACCTTTGTTATACAGCAGGCAAAACAAAAATACATAACAGCCTCTTTAGATATAACAAAGGACAAACAAACAGCAATTTAGCTCTCGGTTGCTATTGCTGAAAAAGATTTCTTCACATTTCGGTCTCAGCTAAACAACACCAAGTCCACAGAATCTCACTGGCAAGAAGATATTTATATATTTTTAAGAATATACATTATAGATTCCTTTGGTAATATTTTTTTTAACAATCTATGTTATAGTTTAGATTACTTCTGTAGCCATAACATATTAAGTTTATAATTCAGTGATTGCCAGTATTTGCATCAAATTTAGAAATATGCAGCATTTGCATTCTGACATCTCTATTTTGTTTCCAAAGGATATTTTAGGTCAATTTAATATACATTTCAACTGATATCCAAATATACTGAAAATTCATGTAGAGAAATTTTAAATAATCTGTATACATTTTTTACAAATTTAAAGAAATCTTATTACTTCCATAAACTTAAAATGATAACTTCCCTGAGATAAAAAAGTAAAATTTGATACTTAAATGGTATACAGATATTACTGCTTGTATGAAAGGACAGTAATAAATTCATTAAAAAGGTATTCCCATTGCAGAGACATTGTACATAATTATATACACAACTGTAGTGTTTTTTGACACTTTGACCTTAAAAACCAATACACTCATCAATGAACAACAACAAGCTATCAGAACATGTTCTACATGTTGGGGGGAAAAAAANACATTGATCCTGGTGGCGACTATTCATATTGACGTGGTAGCGGACCATAATGGTCATAGAAGTGTTATGAAGGCAGTACCCCCCAATTATGGAGGAGTAATTCACACTAACAGCACAGACCACCATAGTTGGTTACCTGTATGAACAGCATAATGCATGTGGTTACCCCAGCATCTGTTGTGTTTATGAAACATTGCTGGTGGACAAGCTTCATGTGCAGGTAGACCAGCACAGTATGCTGGTTCTCCAACTATACCAGCACCAAACCAGCACTAACCAGCATGGAAACCAAAGGAAGAAAGGGAAGCACAGTAATAGGTCGTAACAGAGTCACTTCCAGTTTCAACCCGTTGACGTGGTACTATCCAGAGCATTATAATGAAAAATATTTACCACAGACTTACCCTGGAATCCCGCTTATCTGACCTAAATTACAGTATAAAAACCATAAGCTTCTAACTGCCAATAATACACATTTACGAGGTTTAAACTATGCTATGAAATAGCACCTTATAGTACGTCGTATGACTTTGTCGAACTTATGCTAACACTCGAAGTTCTCCGTAAATCAAAAAATGCTGAGGAAAGCTTAGCATTATCACTCTCCTTATTACTAAAGCATGAGAGGAAGTAACGTTCACCTTGTTCCTTTTCTGTTTTCCAGCAGTCAGCCTGTCATAACCAAGACACACATTGGGACATCATTACAAACTTAAAACTAAAATAAAAACAATACCTTTTAAATTGTTAAGAGATACTAATTTACAAGTGTGGTAATGACACCATGTCCATCTAGACCAGGGGTGGCCAATCTTATCCGCAAAGGGCCGGTGTGTATGCAGGTTTTTCGGATAACCTGTAGGTCAGCTGATCAAACCCAGGTGTGAGGACTTTTTAGCCAATCAGTCCTCTAATTAGTGACCTAATTAGGGAGTTGCAGCGAAAACTTGCATACACACCGGACCGGCCCTTTGCGGATAAGATTGGCCACCCCTGATCTAGACTGAAGTTTACGATTAGAAAACGAAACGAAACTAAATCATCATGTCCTACATGCAGTTATGAGACGAAAAGCAGAGCATTCCTTATCTGTAACATCTAGTTCAAATTACAAAAAAATACAAGCACTGGGTTTAGATTTCACTTTCTCAGTTATTAATAATTACATACAACTAAATTACAGATTGCAGCTATATCCTTACACACAGCCGACAGTATCTGCGCCACTGTAAATGTTAACCTAATATCCACAAGCTATTTTAAGATACACAGAATACTTCGTTTAATACGACCTACGGCATAAAAATACTGAAAGAACAAAATATTACATGAGAAAAACACCAGACAATACAAATTTAAACTATATTATATTGGCAACACAACCAATCGTTACTATGGAAGACAGATATAGCAATACAATTGGGCCACACTGGTGACCGTTAACCGTTGTTTCGCAGCGGATTAATTAACCAACTAATGGTTCAGCGCCAACAGAAAGATTAAAAACCTACAAACTCTCCGTCCAACTAGGGCATCAGGCAAGCTTGATTAGATTGACATTTCATTTTTATACGTGAAAATACCAAAAATGCAGTAGCGCTGCATTACGATTATGAAACTCGCAAAGCACCTGTATGGGTCCTAATATTGCCAAAGACGAACGTCGCCTAACTCACCTCACGCCCGTTTAGTCTGAAGCTTTCGATTCGCATCATTTCGGCAAGGTGTCATATGACTGTTACGTGGCTTCCGAGTCTACGATAGTCATGTGACTGTAGAACTGGAAGTTAATTATTTTAAGTTTCTGAATCTTCGAGTGCTTACTACCCATTGACGTACAATGAATAAAGTAACTTTATATGTAATGCAAATTAAATTAAAAAAACAGCAGTCATTGAAGAATGACCTTTGTTGGGGATCTTTTCCAGATACCAGAAGTAAAGGTGTTTATTTTCAATTTATTTAGACATAAACAATCCATACTGAAAAAAGCCTTTGTTTACAATTGTGTCATATCATTCAGTTAACGTAATATGTTTTTCTTTATAATAGTCAATATTTAACCACCGTTCATGTACTTGGGTACATTATATTCCTATCAATTGTCTGGCTGTAAAAGGTGTTGACTTACTGAAAGTTTAACTATGTGACACATGCATTTGCTAGGCATGAAAATAAAACAACTCATTTGAGAAGAGTATATAAGATGTATATGTATGTGTATTCATAAGTATGACACATTTTAAGGAACAGAAATTTCCTGTTACATTGTTTGTTCTATCTTCAGTTTGACAATCTAATTATACTAACAAAAAATGGTGTTTGAAGGCAATTTACGTTTTCATGGTAGCTGTCTAATCATAAAAATGCATGTGCTGCACTGTCTGCACTTTAAATTCAGTTTTACATCCAATATACACATAATTTGCAGTGTCATGTTTTTGTATTTGCATTTTGTTTTGTACAGTATGTAGTTTGTGAAGTACATTGTCCAATTAATGTGCATGTATATATATATGTGTGTGTGTGTGTATTGAAGGGTTGACAATAAAGATCTCTTGAATCTTGTATATAATGAATTCTATGTTTTTACAAATATGCATGTATATGTATGTAGATCTCTCCTTGTAGTTAACTAAACCTCAAATTAAAACTGACTTTTTTAATGAGACATTTCTTGGCTCTTGTTTTCTTTCTTTAAGCTAAATTTGTCCATTCTGGACTGTGATGTTCTGTAGGGTTCACTTTCAGGCCACTTAAGAGATATCCGTGAACACGATATGATACTTGTTGCTGAATCCTGAATCACCTGGCTACCCTGTAGATCCCCCCCCCCCCAAAAAAAAAAACAAGACCAGGAGTCCCTTTGAATATAATGACTAGATTAAATGATGTAAAATAACTTATTTCCAGGAGCTATAACAATGAAATTATAAGTGTCCATCTTCAAACCACCTGTCATTTATGAAGAGCCTGATGGCCAGTTGGAAAATTAACAAGGAGTCAAGGATTTTTTTAAGACTGAGACCATTCAAATAAGGCCAAACACAGACATCGCCGCCAGTCAAGCATTCTGTGTGGATCTCATGTTACCTGGGTCTTGGAAAAAAGAAGGTAGGGAAGAATCCTCTCTTAGAGTTTGTGAGAAGAGCCTTGTGAGCTGCTGCTTACATGGTGGAAGTTCTGGCGAGTCTGAAAGTCATGACGAAGTAGTTTTGTGCATCAAGTTTTTTCTCAGCCAACTTCTCACTAGGGTCTAAAGTCACTGGTTCCTCTTAGAGCCAGCAGCTCTAGAGTTTCAGTTCCTCTGTCTCTTATTCCTGGTTCCTCACTGTAACCGGTGATGATCATGATGGTGTTAGCTATTCTATCTTTGTTAAATTGCTTATTTAAATATGCATACAATTATCAAAATGCACGCTGGTCAAGCGGATCCAGTCTGTGGCAACAGCCAGCCAGCTGTTTGATGCAATTAGTTTTGTCAGCCATTAAACTTAGCAGTGACTCTGAGTCTCTGAAAAGTCCATACCACATCATACAAGTTGAAAAGCATCAATTTAAAGCTGTATAAACCTCTCTCATGGACAAAAGATGTTTGGTTTTGCTTTAAATAGTAATCTGATACAGGACACAAAAAGGGCTATGTGCAGTTTCACGCTGGATGACAAAAAAAAAAAAATAGTTCATAAGACTGACTGTGTATTTGTAAATCTGAATAGAATTTATGGAAAACACATGACGGTCTGTTTGGACAGGGAACAGATCCAGAATGACAGACTGGGGGATGAAATGGGATGTTTATTAATACCTTTGTTATACAGCAGGCAAAACAAAAATACATAACAGCCTCTTTAGATATAACAAAGGACAAACAAACAGCAATTTAGCTCTCGGTTGCTATTGCTGAAAAAGATTTCTTCACATTTCGGTCTCAGCTAAACAACACCAAGTCCACAGAATCTCACTGGCAAGAAGATATTTATATATTTTTAAGAATATACATTATAGATTCCTTTGGTAATATTTTTTTTAACAATCTATGTTATAGTTTAGATTACTTCTGTAGCCATAACATATTAAGTTTATAATTCAGTGATTGCCAGTATTTGCATCAAATTTAGAAATATGCAGCATTTGCATTCTGACATCTCTATTTTGTTTCCAAAGGATATTTTAGGTCAATTTAATATACATTTCAACTGATATCCAAATATACTGAAAATTCATGTAGAGAAATTTTAAATAATCTGTATACATTTTTTACAAATTTAAAGAAATCTTATTACTTCCATAAACTTAAAATGATAACTTCCCTGAGATAAAAAAGTAAAATTTGATACTTAAATGGTATACAGATATTACTGCTTGTATGAAAGGACAGTAATAAATTCATTAAAAAGGTATTCCCATTGCAGAGACATTGTACATAATTAAACAAATATCAGTGGTGTTTTTTGACACTTTGACCTTAAAAACCAATACACTCATCAATGAACAACAACAAGCTATCAGAACATGTTCTACATGTTGGGGGGAAAAAAAAGTAACCTTTTTTCCAGACTTAACATTTTTAAAAACATTTAATACTGAACATCTTAATACAGTTATGATACGCTTCTAATTTTTGGGAATTCCAGCATAAATCTGCGACTCAATCCCACAGTGATTCTTTCCTCTTAAAATTTTGAAGAATCCTAAAAAAAAGAAAATCAATTAAATGGTAACCTATCACTATATTTGTAAAAACAGAATTGCAGAGAAAGAAACTGAGAATAGCATACAGCCTCACATTTGGATCTTACCATTGTCACCCCAGTCAGTATTCCAAGAATTAGCACACAGCCAGTAGGAGGTGCCATTCTCTGTACCCCAGCCCAAAATCTTGATGGCGTGACCACCCACTGGAAAACCATGTACATGCTGATACACACCTTCAATGGAAGAAAGGGATATTAAGTTCTCAAAGTTACTACAGACTGTTGACCTGAAACTTGAGTATTTAACATCGTGCTACATCAGAAAATTTTATATAAATTTATTTATTGTAGTATTGTTTTAAATTACTTTGTGACAACACACCCAAGGCATAGCTGACACTTATTTTTCAGAGATACTTTCACTCCTAAATGCACTTATTGGAAAACATATGTCTGAAATTGTGGTGAAAAAAAACTTATTATGTCGACAAGACACACCATCAGTGGTCATCAGTGATATATATGGCTTAATTACTTTGTCCCCTTAACAGAGCAACAAGATGTTTAATATATTTTGACAGTTCAAGGTACTTTAACATTTACACAGGTAATTACTAAATGAAAGCTCACCAGTCTTGTACAGAAGGAAGTCGCCAAAGACGGTGAAGGCACCCTCCACTGGACCGTTTTTATAAATCTCTGCCATTATAGCTTGCGCTTTAGATCGGACATGGTATGCGCTCATTCCTGCAGTGATTGTGAAGTGTGAAGCAGAACGGCACTGTAGTTACTGCTTAAATGCTACGTAAAGAAAATGACTAGATTTATCCAAAAACATGTTTTATATGACTCAAAATAATAAGTAATGCAGAATTTCAAAATTTTAGCAAGTTAATGCATACCAAGTGGCTCATGACCTATGGTTACCTGAAGTGGAGAGTTATTAATATAATTTTTTTTCAAAGATCATAATACCAGTGCAGGACAGTGGTGACCTGGAGCCTAATCGCAGGAAGCAGAGGCATGAGGCAGGGAGACACCCTGGACAGAATGCCAGGTACATGGATACAGAGGCACTTAATGTTTTATTGGTTTGTATTAATGCTTGTGTTTTTACTTTGTTATGTGTGTGTAGTTCAATATTCAGAGCATTTGCATGTGCTGAATCTGTTTAAAGATTCTGTCTAATACTGTATGTACTATTCAGGGGACACACTACTAAATTTCGTGAACATCTGTGCAATGACAATAAAAGGCATTGTATTGTATTCTATATACACACTTGCACACCAATCAAAGGACAATTCTGAGACACCAATCCACCTAACTGCGTGTTGTGTCACTACAGGAGGAAACCCAACAAAATGCACACCTGCAAACGCCAAACAAAGACATACATGTAGTAACAAGACCCACCACCCTGGAAGTGTGAGGCCACAGTTGCATTGAGTCACACATGCATTAAGCCTTACCATAATGTTTATCTGCTTTGTAGGAATTCTTGTATTCAGCTTCACACTGGGACTTGCAGTGAGGTGTATGTTCTAAAGATTTACACTGCGGCCGTGAGCCACTCACATGGTGCTCACACGGGGGGATGGTGTAGGGCTGGCAACCTAAAGCATATAAATAGCCACATTGTTTGGAATATGTGGGCATTTTGTTTTATAAAATTCAATCTGAACACAGTTCAGCTACAGCATCCTGTGTGGCTGAGTTTACAAGGATCCTCACCTATATTTGAATCATACAGTCCTCCGGTCACTAAACCCCGTTTCCGCCAATAGTACCAGGCTGCAGCAGGATATCCTCCATGGCACCTGAAGAAAAAAACTGCATTTTTAAAACATAACCATATTATACACATATGAGTAGAATGAGACACAGTCCATTTAGGATAAAACATAATGCATTTAATACATTTAAAATAGGACATAGGCCTGTCATGATAACGACTTATGTTGGATGATATATTGCCCCAGAAATAATTTAAATAAATTATATTATTGTCATTTTAAGATAATTTTATGCCACTGATACAATGATAATATAATAGCACAAATACAAGTACACCCTTTCAAAGAGCGATGACCTCAAAAATATTCCAACATTACAGTAAGGGAAAGTCAGAAAGAAGTCAGACTAATGATTAAAGATTTTAAAGATGCAAATCTATTTAGTTGTTATACATTTTACTTTAGGTTTTAGTAATTTTATTTCTAAGGATGGATGGAAAGTTGTAAGATTTGCTGGCTACTACAAAATGTTGTGATGTGATTCAAGTTCACTGCAGTAGAGCCTCAAAGAAAAACAAGTCATTACTTTAGCTTAACAGTATTTTAAAAACGGTAATGAGAAGTATAACATTTATAAAATGTTTATTTTATCTTGGTTGGGATCAGTATTTGTAGTTGTTGATTAGTTATGGTTGTTTTGTTTTATTTTTGTATCTGATTTTATTTTATTTATGGAAATGTTTTTGTTAATGATTATTACCTTGCCTTGCATATTCTAAGTACATAATGCATGGTTAGTTTTACCAAAATTATTATTTTTTTTCTTATAACTTCCATACCACACTTTATAAACACGATTTTTAAAAGCAGCTTTTGTTGGCACATTCGTGTTAGAAGTCTGAGTATTCAGAACAGACAGTTCGGCACTGCATTCACATGAAATATGAATCAGCCCTGAGCCACGCTTGTGACAGAGAGAGCATATGAGAGGGCAGAAGCAGTGCAACTAGCTAGGATGGTCAGGACATTAATTTGTATATAAACACAATTTGCCAATATTATGGTCAGAACAAAATCAGAGGTTATGCTCATATATCGTGCAATAAGTCAATAACATAATTATCATGACGGGCCTATTGGGACGTAGCCTATTTCATATAGGACTTACATAGAAGTGATCTATGTAATGATCTATGTCTCACACGCAGGTAAATGACAGAAAACTAATACAATGAATCAGAATATATGTTTAAGCAATTATATGTAATTATAAACAATTACAGGTAATCAATATAAAACTTGTATTTTGTATATTCTCTGCCCTCCTGCACTAACAAGCAGTGAGTATAGTCTTGGTCCAGGCTGTAAGCATGAATGCTTAGCAGCCTTCCACTCAAGGTTCAGTTTAATGTGTGGTAAAAAAATGTTGTACTAGCTGTTCAAATTACCCGAAATTAAAATCTAAAATAACGTGACTTGAGAACAGCCTTATTTTAAAACCCCAAAAAACACTCATAACAGCAGACCTATCCCTCGGCGAGAAGGAGACCGTGACCATGCCTACCCAAATCCACAGATGTGGCAGCAGCTCAGCAGGTCCTGAGCGGAGATTTCTATGCTCACGTTGCTGTTACTGTGGATGCACACTCTGTCGGAGATAGCCTCGACTGCCCCGAAGGCCTGACGTCAGAGACACACTGGTTATGTCGGCCAGAGCGCGGTTAGTCAGATTTGGACACAGTACGCATCTAGAATGATTGCTAACTGTGCCTGAGCACAGAACACAGACATGACGTCAATGATGCAACTGACATACGCATATGCACATGTACATTATACATGAACCAAACCCAGAAGGAAAGGATCGGATAGGCTGTACAGATCACATTATTTTTAATTAATTTAATTTTCATTTATAATTTCATTTTATTTTTATTCTACAGATAATGCAAGTGCCCATAAAGGTTTCAGTAGTTTCTTCTGCTTTCTTCCATTCATCTGCACAATAAACATATAAAAAGAAATTCCCACACATTATGCTTGATTATCTAACTGCTTAAAACACAACGTAGCACAATAACCTGTAGGTACAGATGCTAGTTTAATGATGTTAATGTAGCCTGTTTCCTGTATTATAAGATTATAATCACATATCACATCATGCTCTACTGTGTGACAAGCAAGCACATTTAGCTGTGGACAAAGAACTGTGACTAGAGCCGGTAGTATTAGGCCTCATTCACACGGACGTCTGTACCTGGTGTTTTTCTGGCGTTCGTGGCGTCAGGTGAGCGCCGACTGAATGCCGACCGTTTTTCTGCTCAATGGAGCAAATCAAAGAGTCCAGACGGGCATTCAGCACCGGCGTTCGGCTGGCTACACGTTCAGGTGGTGTCAAATAAATGCTGCATGCAACGTTTTCTTGGCGTCAAAATCCCGACAAACGCGAGGAAAATGACACTATTGTGTTTACATGGCGTTCGATTGGCATTCTGGAGGACCGAATATGTCCCATGATTCTGTACGGCAACTGCGAGAAACCACATTTTACAGAAAATGTTGGACATTGATCCAGCCCAGCTCGTGCAAGAAGTGGAACAGAGACCAGTGTTGTGGGACATTTCCTTAGCAGAATATACTTCTGCGGAAATCTTTGCATGTCTTCAAAAAGCACAAAAAACGTCCCTTTGATCTGACGTTGCGCAGTAAGAGGGTGAACCCAGTAGCGGCGGCGATGTTTGTTCCTCTCCTGCCTACAGCGCCATATCAGGAGGATTTTTAAAAGAAGAATGTCGAATGCAAGTTTTAATAAAGAACAGGGATCCATGTTTTCAATGCAGAACTATAAACCAAGATGACCCATGTGTAAACACTCTGGACAGAGTAATTACTGCCCCTACAGGTAAATACACAAAACTACAGATTGGGCGTCAGGCTGGTGTTAAACAGCGTCAAGCGAACACCAGTGAAACGCCAATCGAACGCAGATACAAACCACAGGAAAAACACGTATGGCGTTCAGAGGGCGTTCATTTCTAACGTCCGTGTGGACGAAGCCTTACTATCACCAAAAGTCAAAGAGTGTCGGGGGTCAGGATTGTACCCAGCAGGAACCACATGATCCTTGGTCTCGGATCTCCTTGATAGTGGGGCAGTTTGGCCATTGTTCCCGGGCATCAAAGTTCTCAGGCAGCTTTATGTCTTCGGCATATTCTTCCCTGTGATGACAGGAGAAAAAAAATATCAGACTGTCATGTGGCAAACTTTCGATATCAGACCCACGTAAAATTATGAAACAGTTAATGTCGGTCTCATAAACCCTTAATTGGGTTTCTAGTTTCGCAAGGACAACACTGTAATGTGACAGTTAAATACAGAAGCATCCATGCACTTCGTATTGAACCACAAGCCAGTAACTCCAGCCCAACATAATTTATATCTCACATGCTTTATATCCAAAGCAGTGAACAAGTGAACAACAAGGGATTAAAAAGCAGGGTCAGGCTTCACCCAGCATCTCTGGAACAGTCTATAAAGGACACTTACAAAACTGGCAGCGTGGGGCCATCCATATACGTTCCGCACAGGGCCTTCACATAACTGTAGTCAACATTCTGGAAGTTATGGCCAGCCTTAATGTGTGAAACCAAAAATAATTGGACGATTTGTTACATTGCATACTCTGCATAGGACATGTTAGCTCAGTGCTGCAGAAAAAGAGTCAGATAAAACAAGTGACATGTCTACCTATGAACTGATGATGAATTAAATTGCAGAAAAGGGTCAAATTTTTCTCAAAATATTTCAGGCAACATGCTGTTTGAGAGCATGTTATTTGGCAAATACAAGTCACTGTGGAATTAAAAAACAGATATTTACATTAATAAATGTTATCCTTTGGTTTTCACAAACAGCATTGAACCCAATGGAAGTCCATGATTCCAGGAACGATGAGCCAGTGAAAGCAGGTCAGGGGTCAAGATTTTGCCATCATAATCTGGGCTCACCTTCCATGTTGTGTTGGCCTTGTTGATATAGTTCACCATCTCCTCTGAAAGTGGAAGAAGGTGTGGTTCAGCCCAGACAACGGACTGGACTGACAGCAAGCAGAGCAAGCAAAGGGTCCACATTCTGAAAGAGAGATGTTTATAATATCTTTTGCTATTACTGCTGGGTCACATTATCAAGCTAAACATTTCATTGTTGTAATAAATTCAAAAGTCACTAGTTTCATCTTTTGAAGACCCTAAAGAAAATAGGGGTCACAGTAACAAAATGTGTTACATAACGAGACAATATAATCTTTGTGTGTGTATGATCTCCTCGTATTGTGGGGGTTTCCTCTGGTACTCTGGTTTCCTCCCACAGTCCAAAAACATACAGTTAGGCTGCTGGAAACTAAATTGCCATGGAGTACGGGTGTGAGTGTGTGTGTGTGTGTGTGTGTATATCCGTTTCAGAATGCACGTCAGTTTTGTGTTCAATATTACATTATGAACTTAAATTATAAAATGGGTGGATAAATAAAACATATGAATATTAATAATACACAAATAATATAAATGGATAGGAATCAACATTTTGTTTACATCATTTTCTAGTCAAAAACAATGGAAATCTCTGCATTTATACCTATACACGTGTTCCACCAAAATGAAAGGGTGCAGGTGTATAATTGTGTACCTGTATGGATGGATGGATCACCTGGGGTTTTTATGTTTTGTTACAAATTTACCCAGATGCTTTTGACACATTAACAAGCAACCAACAGTCAGTTGATGACAATTGTGAAAACCAGGGCAGTGGGGGAAGGGATGTATAGAATTACATTCATCCAGAGTCAAACTATAATCAGTTGTAATTTACGGTGCATATTATAAACAAGACGAAATAATTATGCTAGAACTGCTTAGAGCTTTTCCATCTGAAAATGCCTTTTTCAGAGTACAGTTTAATCAACCAGACACATCCTATCAGTAACAATACTACTATAATGATTATTAGTAGCAGGGATTTATGAAATACAGTAGGTATATAATAAACTGCATTATTCAATTACGGATTGGAAAAGATGAATATTGCCAGTAAGTAATATTGTTAAACTGAAGGTAACACAAAAATAAGACTTGTTTCTTTAAAGGAAACATCAAATAATAATTTTAAAAATCAATAACAATAATCTAGCTAATCCCTCTTGTGGGTGAGAAAGTGAAAATAGCAGATTTATATGGTTAATGATTACATGAGTCAATTCTGAGAAACTCTACTTTGCATAAACAGTTTGCCACAATCATGTGTGGATAGCACCACTTTGAGACTCAATGAAAGGGAAAATTTTTGAAGTTTTTCTAAGGCAAACAAAAAACCTTTTCGTAATGACCCTGAAAATTCCCCACGCTGCATATTTCTTCATTTAATCAATTACATTGTTCTTTCTGTGCTGTTGTGCTTTTATTTCTGGACATCCTTCGGAAAGTGGCAACATCTATATGCAATTGAAAAGTTTTCAAAACACATCAGTATAGAGAACAGTGAGCCTCCTATCAATCCAATCTTCTAAAACACAGGTTTATTAAAAATTTAGTGAAGCAATTCTACTCCCTCTGCAAATAAATCCATAGAAAATAGTTACATATCAGTTCTAGGCAAAGTGCACCTGGCTGGTTCAAGCTACTGGTGCCCTGCAGTTTCAACCCATAACACGCACTTAATTGCTTCTATAAATACCCATTTACAGAAACCCATATACATAAACAAGCAGCAGCAACAACAACAACAACAACAACAATAACCCCATACGGAAGAACATGTCAGATCGTCCAGCCGTTTGCTATTAAAGTTAAAAACAGACAAAAAAAACTTTGCGTGACGTTTTCTAAAATCACGTTACAATTTAATCCGTAAAGTACGATATAACTATACAAACCTATACTGTAACAACAATCACGGCTGGCTATTGTACTGTACCTGTATCGATGCTGATAGTTTTACTGTAACATAGGGCAGCTTCAGGCAGGCACTGACCGTACCAGCTCCGTTTCCAGTTTATCTTTCGGAGAGTCAGTAGATGTCACATGACTGAACACGTGAACCCATAACGTTGTGGTCATGTGACCATGGAGGCTCACTAACTGCATTTTGTTACTGTCGCTTTAATTGTATCAGATGTCATATTAGGTACGTTAAGTGCATAATGGAATTTATCTTAATGGTATTTCGGCCTTTCCCACTGTGTCTTTAGGATTCGTAGATTGTTTTATTGTTACGTGTAGCAAATGCAGTGAATTTTTCACTCGCGTGTTGCAGGGTAGCCAACTTTGGGCAGCTGGCTAGAGTGAGATGTTAAATTAGAGACTTGTTTGCACATATATTTACACGTATGTAGCAGTTTTATGACCTTGTAAATAGTCAGTAGGGTTTGCAAACTACCACAACGTTTTGATGTAGCCAATTTATATATATATATATATATATATCAGTGGAGATTTCTTTAAGACTGCAAGGGAAGCTCAGCTTCCCCTATAATGTCACAAAATTAATGGTCAAATTATGTACTATTGTATTAACATTTTATTGACTAAAAATGCGTTAGAAAACGTTCATCTTAAAGACGAGTTCGTTCAGAATCAGTTAGATATAGCAGGTCGGCTGACTTGATTTTCTTCTCATACATTCCCGTAGCGTCACAGTGCATTTCCCCGTTGAAGCCCAGCGTCCATTGACTTCAATGCGGCTGCTTTGAACGTTTTTTTCAGTGCTTTGAAAATAGACGGTCATTGGATAAACGCTGCGATTATGTCCCGCCCATGGACGCTCAGCGTCTCTGGGGGTGAATGAGGAGCAAATGAGGAGTGGGCTGGCCTGGACTCCGAGCTTCTGCGTGATGATTGGAGGGTCTGTCGAAAGATTGCATCTCCTTTTGACTGACAGCGATTTTGTACTATAAGGAATCGCTGAAGCTATTCGCGCTCAGTCCCATCGCGGATTTCTGAAGTTCAGTCGAAATAAAAACTGCTGCAACCTATTTCTTTATATTTGCTTGGCGAAATTGCTTGATTTTCATCATACATTTCACACAATTATACACCACATTCCTTGTTTCACTTTTACAGAGTTTAATATATTTTTTAGATCGTTCATTCATTCATTCATATAGTAGGCTTAGGCTAGGCTAGCGTCGTGGGTGAAACTGCACACGATGGCAGACAGTGCTAATATTGTCGACCTGATTTTGGCGAAGCCATTTGAAAGTGTTCCTTACGAGGAAAAACTTAGAATTAAACAGCAGGGCAGATCAACACCTAAGATTGATTTAGTGCAAAAGATAGGGAAAAATTAACAGGTCTTTTCAGCTCTCCTGGTATGACAAAGTTAGCTGGCTGACTGGAAGTGCTGTGACAAATAAAATGTACTGCTGGCCATGCCTCTTGATGAAACCATCTCACGGATGTGTTGTTTGGTCAAAGGTGGGGTTTGGAGATCTGTAACTTTGACAGGGCATATAAAAGACATGAAAAGAGCAATGAACATGTGAGTGCATGTGCAAGATTAAGTTGCATGGGAAGGATCAGGGTTGAGCATGCAATAAATGAAGCTACATCTGCAGGTGTAGAAAGGAACTTCTCCTGTTTAAAGCGGCTCAAGTCCTACACCCGAAACACAATGGGCCAAGGCCGTTTAAGCAGCCTAGCTCTGCTGGCCATTGCGAGGACACTGGTCAAGTCACTGGAAAAGACGGCTAGTTGGTACGACAGGGTCACAGACCATTTTCTTGAAAAGGAACGTAGGGCAGAATTTACTTTTAAATAAATAGACAATTTTATGATGTAGGCCGAAAATGAGCTTCCCCTATTTGACAGACCAGTAGCCGCCACTGATATATATATATATGTGTGTGTGTGCCATAAGATTTCTTGCAAGAGCGTCACGCCAGATGTGAGATTGAGAGTTGGCAACACTGCTGTTTGCCTGCAGACTTATAACAACTTCAAGGGCTCCGTAAAGTTCTTATTTGACTGTAATAGACGGAAATTAAATAGCTATACACATCTTTTTGCACACAAAAAAACAGCAGCAAGGAAAATGAACAAATTGGAGGTTTGTACTTTTAATTAATTTGTTAGGCAGGGCCAACAAGCAGTAATTCAATGTATTAACAACTTGTAAAGCACGTGTTAAAAAGGTTTTCAAGCCAGCACTCCAAAACTCACGTTTCAGATTTCAAGTTTTTATATGTTCGTGTCAGCTGGGGCAGTTTGCAAGCCCTACAGGGTAATTGCAAGTTAATAAAAGTGTTGCATACACTTGTCTCGACTTCAAAATGTTGACAGTGCTAGAGTCGGAAACGTCTCACCTAACTGTTACCTACGGTGGCCCCTAGAGACAAAACGCATACAAAAGAAAAAGCAGAAGCAAAATGAAAATGCGCTGCAAATTCAAAAACGCATACAAAAGAAAAAGCAGAAACAAAATGAAAATGCGCTG